TCATCCCTGCTGCCCTCTCCAGCCTGCTGGGCTTTGTGTTCCTGGGATGGGGGTGCTGGGCTGGGGGAGGACGGGCACAGGGGGCCCCATCCTCAGCTTGTTGGAGGGACAGGACGCCGGGGCTGTGGAATGTGGGGTTGAAATGCAGCCCAGAGCAAAATGTGCAATAAACCTGGCGCAGGGGACCCCGAGAGCCGGAACCCACTGCGGAGCGGAGCTGAAGGAGCACAGAGCACGAGCACAGCACTATGGTTTCCCTCCTCTTCCCCTTCCCACACCGCTGTCCTTGGCTGGCTGGTGGAGAGAGGAGCTGCTGCGGCGGGGGCTGTGGGGTCAGCGTGTCCAGGAGGAGACAGGAGGGTGTACATATGCACATATACACTTAGTAGTACCTGTATAGTAATTCCTACACACGGATCCTGCCCACGCCACCGCGGGGGTGGGCAGATGTATAGCATATATTTTTACATGTACTATATCTAGATGTGTGTCCAAGTGTGTGTAAAAATATATACCCTGTGTGTAAGCAGATGACTATTTTTTCCTTATCTCCCTGCTCTCTGGGTAGAGGAAGGATTGCTAAATATTTTTTAGCCCATTTTTTCTTCCCCTTTGTAGGTCTCCTTTCCGGTCTGGCTCCTCGGAGCCAGAACTGCCACCCCCTGATTCTTTGCCACCCTCTCACACAGAAGGTTTTTGTCCCATCCTGAGGGATCTTGCTGGGGATTTTTTTTTTTTCCTCTTCACACGTTTGAACAAGTTGGGAGATTGTGTGCTACTGTCATGGGGGTGGAGGTGGAATCCCAGTGGTTTCAGTGAGAGTGTTGGTGATCCAGAAGGCAAAAAATAAATAAAAGTGAAATCCTGAACGATGCCTGCTGCCCATTGTGTGCTGTGTGGGGCTGTCCATGAACACTGCTCTGAGGTCTCTGCCCTCAGCCATAGAATTCCCAAAGCTTGGCTGTGCTGGGATTCAGATTGGGCTGGAGGTGGGGGTCAGGCTCTGCTCTCAGGGGACAAGTGCAAGCAGCCTCAGGTTGCTCCAGGGGAGGTTTACAATGGGTACTGAGGGAAAGTCCTTCATGGAAAATGTGGTCAGGGCTGCCCAGGGCAGGGGGACAGTCCCCAGCCCTGGAGGTGTTGGAAGGGTCTGTGCAGGTGGCACCTGGTGGTGTGTGGGCATGGCAGGTTTGGCAACAGCTGGGACTCCTCTTGGAGGCCTTTCTCAAACCTAAAGATTCCGTGGGGGCAGAGACTGTTGGGTTGCACTGTTGGGTTTTGGGGCGGATGCAGCTTTAGGAATCACTGGCAGAGAAACAGGGAACACCAAGGAGATGTGGGAGTTAATTTATCTATTTTATCATTTACTTTTACCTGCTGCTGCTCATGGAGTGGTCAAGCTCTCCTTGCTGCCTGGGCTGGGCTTGCTCATATTTATATTCTTATATAACATGGATTTGTATATATGTAGGTGCATATATTTTAACATGTAAGTGAATTTATAAAGATGTAAAAATTAATTAATTTTAATATGGTTTTGTATCTTATAATTAATACCATATTTTAAATTCCCCTACATGTATTAAAATACGTATGCAAATACAGAGGTAGAGTTACATACTTCTATATGCATATACATATAAATATGTGTAACACGTGTACAAAAACGTGTTATACATATTTGGACACACCTTTTATAAATCTGGGAATTATTTGTTGTAGATATTTAACACTCCTTTCGTAAATAATTTCATGCCCACTCCTTGAATCCACCTGTTTGGAGCCCAAAGGACAGGGACAGCCAATCACGGGGCTGCCTGAGATCACGTGGGGATGGTGGTGTCACGAGATGGGTGCCTGCCAATCACAGCGCGCCATGACGTTTAACAAAATGGCTGCGCCCTGCCATAAGATGGCGGGTGAAACAAAATGGCCGCCCCCAGTGGATACAAGAGGAGAGGCCGTGTGTCACAGTACTTCCGGGCCCTATCAGCCAATCACAGCACAGTACCTGCTGCGGCAGCGAATGGCCGTGAGGCTGCTCTGAGAGGGCGGGGCTTGAGAGGGCGGTGGGCGTGGCCTCCCTATGTTCTGTGCCGTGCTCGGGCAGGCGGGGCTGGAGGGCGCCGTGCCCGCCTGAGTCCCTGTCCCGTGTCCGTGTCCGTGTCCCCCTCTCGGCCGGGCGCTCAGCCCCGCGCTCTCCGGCACCTGGAGCCGCTCCCGGCTCTTCCCGCGGCTTCCCCAGGCCCAACCCCTGCCTCGCGGGGCCCAATCCCCGGGAACCCCCGGGAATGGCCCGCGACGCCGGCTCGGCCCGGCCCCCGCCCGGGGCGGGACCGCGCCTGTCCCGGGGCCACCTCAGGACGGCTCCCGGCTCCGTCCATGCGCGGGGATCGCGCTACCTCCGGCACAACCGTGGGGCTGGGGACCCTCGGGGATGCACAGCGGTCCCGGACCCTCGGGGGTGCTCAGCGGTCCCGGACCCTCGGGGGTGCACAGCGGTCCCCGCTGCCTGCGCTGTTGTGGGCACAGCCCCGCCCCAGCCATGGGCAGCACTTCCAGGGAGGGTTCCAGGGTCTCAGCCACTCGTGGGGGGTTTTAGGCAGGGTTGGCAGTGGCGGAGGAGTTTGACAAGTAGGAAAGGCTGGGAGAGCTGGGGGTGTTCAGCTTGGAGACGGGAACACTCTGGGGGCACCTCAGAGCCCCTTCCTGGACCTAAAGGGGCTCCAGGAGAGCTGGAGGGGGACTTGGGACAAGGGATGGGAATGGCTTCACATTATCAGAGATCAGGGATATTGGGAAGAAATTCCTCGCTGGCACAGGTTACCCAGAGAAGCTGTGGCTATCCCTGGAAGGATGAAAGGCCAGGCTGGACAGGGCTTGGAGCACACTGGGGTAGTGGAAGGTGTCCCTGCCCATGGCAGGGGGCTGTGCCTAAATGGTCTTCACGGTCTTTCCAACCCAAACCACCCCGGGAAGTACGCAGGCCCTGCCCTGGCTCCAGCCCCCCACTCCCCATGGGAGTGTGCCCCATCCCACATTCCCACATCCCTCACCCCGGGCACAAAGCCCATGGACAGTGGGGGACACCTGGGTGCTGTTCCAGGGTGGCCCAGGGGTTTCTCCCGGGGGTGGAGAACGAAGTGAGACACCCACAAAGGACACATCTCACTCTGACACACAGCTCATATTTAAAAATAACAACCAAAACTAAAAAAACTTTTATTTGACAATAGAAAAACAAACAAAAAGATATTTACAGTAGTTTGTTATTTCTCCATAAATTTAATTCCAATAACTCCTGCCCTCCCAACTCTGGTCCATCCCAGGGCAGCAGCACCGGGGAAGGAAAGCACTGGGGTTTGACTGGGGCAAGAGCAGGAGGCCAAAGAGCCTCTCCCTCCCCCAGAGCAAGGGACAGAGCTGCAGGGGTGACAAGGTGAGAGTCCCAAAACTGAGGACTTTCCCTGGGAAGGAGACAGAGGGAAAATAAAGGCTGGACATAGAAATGGAGTTGGGGGTGAGAGGCACACGATGGGCACCCCCAGCACTGCACAGGGCACCTGCCCAGGTGATGCTCTTGGCAAACCTTCCCACAGCAGCCCCTCCCTGGCACCTTCCTCTGAAGAAATGATGGGTGGGAACACACCAGTCCCCCAAATCAGTGCTTTTCCCTTCCAGCCCCTTCCTCCCCCTCGGGGCTCTCCCCCTGCCCTGCAGAGCTCCCAGTCCTAGGCTTTACCCCCTCCGGTCATCATCACCTCATCTGGCTCGGGAATTACCGAGGGGATCAGCGCTGCCATGGCCGGGTACAGTCACTGTGCAACCCACCTCTGACAGGGCCCGGCACAGCCCCGGGACAGCAGCGACACCCGGCCAGGGGCTGCCCGGGGACAGCAGCGACACCCGGCCAGGAGCTGTCCTGGGGCCCAGGAGCTGCCCCGGTCCCCGCAGCCCGGCCATCCCAGCTGACCGCAGTTTGTCACTAGAGGTCCCCAGCACCGCACAGCCGCGCTGCGAGGGGAGGGGACAGGGAGCGACACCTCTATGCTCCGCCCGCCCCTCCCTGCCGCCCCGCGCTGCACTTGCAGGACGCACATGGCCGTGCCCGCACCACGCCTCTTTCCAAAGGTTTTATGGAAGAAAAAATAGAATAAAATAAAATAAAAAAGGAAATGAAATCGGGTACAAAATTCACAGTCTCAGCTCTGCCCGGGCTTGCGCTCACTGCTCCGGGCACAGCGTGCACACATTCGGCATGAACGCGAGGGGAGCGCGGGGAAGGTGTGGAAATGCTTACAGATTAAAAAAAAAAAATTAAAAAAAAAGTAATAATCATGTAATAAATCACAATTAAAGGGAAAATGTTTCAACAAAAAACTTGCTAAACAGCACCATAGAGATTTCTACTGGCAGCATCCAGAACAACCTAAAAAGGAAGAGGAGGGTCCTATTTTTTCCATGATAAAATGCCACAGACTCCATGTTTCCAGTTCATCTGTCCTTTGCCCTTCCCTGGGCGAGGCAGACCCCCTGGCCAGCACCGGGAAACAGAAAAGCCCCCAAAAACAAAAGGGGGGCCGGGGGGGAAGGGGGGCAGGGAGAAAGGATCAGAGATTTGGGAGACAAAGCTCTTCAGCCACAGTCCTCACACCGGCATTAAAAACCCAGGTTCTCTCTGTCTCCCCGACAAACGGCGCTGGCTGGACCCTTGTTGGCAGGAGAGGAGGAGGTCAGCAGGTTTTCCAGGGGAGCTCAGTGCCCGGCAGGGACAGGGCACGGCCAGCGCCGGGCTCGGGCACACAGCGGGCACCGCGCTCGGCAGCCGGGGCATCTCCGGGGAGGATGGCGGGGTGGGACCGGCCTTCCTCTGCCGCCCCGGCTGCCGAGAGACACCGGAGCCCCCGGGGCAGGAGCCGCTCCTGGACGGGCCGTGGGGGCGAGGCAGAGGCCGGAGGGTCGGAGCCCCGGGCAGGGCACCCTGCGGGACCCGGCCCGGGCTATTTGGGGGCTCCGGGGGGCTCGGCGTGCGGAGCCAGGGGCAGCTGCCCCCCCTGCCGCTGCCGCTCCAGCTCGGCCGCCTTCTGCAGGGCCACCTCCACCAGCAGCTGGAAGCTGCTGAAGTCGTCCCCGAAGAGCTCGGGGGGCGTCGGGGGCGGCGTGTTGAAGAGTCCGGGTGTGGGGCTGCCCGCCTCGGCCCGCGCCAGCAGGGTCAGGGTGCTGCTGCTGCCGGGGCCCGCCCTGGCCTCGGGCCCGGCCGGCTTCTCCCACTCGGGGCTGTGGGCGCTCACCACGGCCAGCGCCCGCGCCGGCTGGCACAGCACCCGCGGGCACACCGACATGGACAGCACCTTGGAGGCGCCCGCGGGCGGCACCACGAGCAGCCCGGCGCCGGCGGCAGCGCCCCGCGGCACGGCCGCGTCCCCGGCCTTGCCCCCGCGGCGGGAGATGGTGAACTGGTTGGGGTCCTTGCCGTCCTTGCGCAGCATGTCGGGGAGCAGCCGCCGCCGCGCGTTGATGAACCAGTTACAGATCTGCGAGGAGAGAGGGCGGCGGGGTCAGCCGGGCCTGCAGCCCCGGCTCAGAGCAGGCGAGCGGCTCCCCCAGAGCAGCAGCGGCTCGCACAGAGCAGCAGCCCCGGCTCAGAGCAGGCGAGCGGCTCCCGCACAGCCGGACTCCCCCACGCCCCCTCAGCCCTGCACCCCCTTCCCGAGCGGCTCCGGAGAGGCGCAGCCGGCGCTGGCACCCACGGAAACCCCAGCACCGGCTGCTTCCTGCCCGGCACCGCCCGCCCGGGGCAGCCCCTTCCTCCCCGGCCCTGGCCCGGCCGCCCCGGCCCTGCCAGCCCCGCTCGGGGCCGTGCCCGCGGTTCCTGCTCTCCATGGCAGCCCCGGCCGAGCCCCCCCGGCACAGCAGCCGTGCCCGGAGCCCCGGGGCTGGGGGGGCTCAGCAGAGCTGCCCAGGGCAGGAGGGGCTCGGTGCTGTGCCAGAGGCCCCGGCTGCAGGTACAGCACAGCCCCAGCCAGAGCCCATGGCATGGCACAGAGCCAGCCCAGAGCCCACCCTGCGGGTCCCAAGCCTGGGGACAGGTTTTCCTTCTCCAGGTGGCCCATCCTGGAGCTCAGCCCTGTTTCCACACTGCTGCCAACCCGAACAGGAGCACCGAGGCTGCCAGGGCAGATGGATGGCAGGAGAGCAGCACAGATGGAAAACTCTAGAAGCCATCAGGTGATGGAGCTGCAGCTCCTCAGCCCCTGACAGGGACAGCAGACACCTTCCTGTGCCTCTGCCCACGAGCAGGGTCACAACTCATGCTAAAGGCTCTCCCAAACTGCACAGCATGGAGGCTGCACGTCTGGCAGCCCTTTGCCATTATTGAGCCTTGGCCGTGAATTGTTTCAGCATCTTTTTATAAAATGCTGCATTTAAATAACTGCCTTTTTCCTAGAAAACAATTAGAATAAATCAAGGGGGAAAAAAGTCTGATCTTTCCTAAATCAACAGCTATGGAAAATATTTCCCCCAAGGAGAGAGAACTTGCCGCAACTTCAACCACAGCAAGACCTCAGCTGTCGTTTTTTTTCTTTATGACAATATTTGGCATTAAAACTCTCAAACACACCAGTCTTACTCCCTCTTCTGTTCCAAACCCCCTCCCTTGCAGGTCTTAGCTGAGTCCCCTTGACAGAATCCTGGCCATCCACCACTGTGATCCCCAGCTAGAGAGATGGACTCCCAACAAAAAGCCCAACTCCTCAGTGCTGAGAACCCCCAAAATCCAGCCTGTCCCCACCACCGCTTCCAGCATTCAATTCCCATTGGAGAACAGGGCACGGAGATGGGGACACACAGCCACTGTGACAGCAGGCACTGTCACAGAGCTGGGACACGCTCTGGCTCTGAAGCAGCTCATTGGGTTCAGTCCCTCCCTTTTCCTCCCACCAGCACGCCCTGCTCTGTCCCTTTGGGCAGTGTCTGTGCCCTGATGCCACAGCAGGGCACAGGCTGGGCAAGCTGCTGCTGTCCAGGAAGCCTCAGTGGGAGCAGGTGCCACTTTCCTAGTGCTGGAATTCCTGCAAGGGAGCCACAGGGCTTCCTGCTCCCCCTGATCCCTGGCTGCCATGCACAGCTCCAGCTCCCCAGGCCACTGGAGCAGCCAGGGGGGCACAAAGAAACAACTGGAAGGGTTGGCCAGTGGCTGTGGCAGAGCCCTGGGCCAGAGGGGCCAGATCAGCATCACAGACTGAACCCCACAGCCAGGCCATGGGGTGTCCCACGGCTCCCCACAGCAGGCACAGGGAACCCCAGGGGTGGCTGCTGCAGCCCCTCAGGCTGGCACTGGGGATGCCATGGGGCTGGGACCCCTGCACAGCGGGCACAGGGGGCACACGCTGGCTCTGGGGTCACCTGGGGCAAACAGCAGCTGGCACCCAGCAGGGCCACACCTCAACAGAGCCCACCCTGTGCCAGCCCCTGCTGGGTCCCAGGGGCTCCAGGCACTGAGAGCCAGGCACTGCCAGTGCCCCCGAGCCCTGGGGGGCTGTGCCAGGCACTGCCAGTGCCCCCGAGCCCTGGGCAGCCCCCATGTGCCAGGCACTGCCAGGCCAACCCGGGCCAGCACCAGCCCAGCTGCCACGGGCCATGCCTGTCCCTGACTCAGCCCCAAGCCCAGCCAGGGGCTCCAGGCTGTCCCCGAGCAGCTGCAGGACACGGCTCTGGGGCACAGCCAGCACCCACAGAAACACCCTGAAGTGAAAGGGCAGGCTTGCCCTGCTGCCCAGGGAGAGGGCAGGCAGACAGCCCTGCCCACACTCGCTGTCTGGGCTGGGACAGCTGGCCAGGACTGTGCTGAGCCACGGGGAGAGGAGCCAGAGGAAGCTCCAGCAGAGGAGCAAACCCACCGGCCCTGCCTGCTGCCTGCACCCACTGCAGCCCAGAGAGCAGAGAGCACCCCACACCCTGTCAGGCTGGGAGAGGGGCACGGGGCCCAGGGCACCAGGCCTGAGCATGGAGCACAGGGCCAGCAGCTGGGCAGGCCCCCCCAGACACCCCAAACACAGCAGGGACCGCAGCAGAGTGGGAAGGACAAGCACTGCTCACCCCCACTGCTGCCCAGGGCTCCTGCCTGGGCACCCGCCCTGTGCCACATGGAGAACACCAGCCCACAGCTGGGAGCAGGACAGGGAGACTCCTGGACAGGGCTCCCCTTAATGCAGCTGCTGTAACTGGGACCGGCCTGCCAGCCCAGGGCACTCCAAGTGCAGCCCAGCCTCTCCCTGCTGGCTAAAATCACAGAATATCCTCAGCTGGCAGGGATCCACAGAGATCACCAAGTCCAACTCCTGGCCTTGCCCACCCCAGGGCTGTCCTCTGCCCAGCTCTGTGTGCAGGGGGTGCTCATCCTGCTGGGGGTGTCCAGGGGAACAGGATAAAGAGGCATCCCCCAAAACCCTCCCACCTGTGCAGCTCTGACTGACAGCATCCAGCCTGTCCCCACTGCAGCCCCTCCAGCACAGCTGCTCCCAGGGCTCACTGTCCCAGGAAACACCCTCCCCTCACACAGGTGCCTTTCCTTCCCAAACATCCCTTCCCTGGCTTCCTTTCTGCCCTTCCCTGGCCAATGATCCCAGCCTGCCCAGACCTTTGGGATCCTCGGTGGGGTTCTGCTGTCCCACACCGCATGGCACTGTCCCCAGCGGTGTCCCCATGGCACGGTCCCCAGCATGGCAGTGTCCCCAGCATGGCAGTGTCCCCATGGCAGTGTCCCCATGGCAGTGTCCCCAGCGGTGTCCCCATGGCAGTGTCCCCAGCAGTGTCGCCATGGCAGTGTCTCCATGGCAGTGTCCCCAGCAGTGTCCCCATGGCAGTGTCCCCATGGCAGTGTCCCCAGCATGGCAGTGTCCCCAGCGGTGTCCCCATGGCAGTGTCCCCAGCATGGCAATGTCCCCATGGCAGTGTCCCCATGGCAGTGTCCCCAGCGGTGTCCCCGCGGGCGGGGCCGGCTCGTACCTGCAGCACGGAGAGGCTGGTCTGCCCCGAGAGGCTGAGCTTCTCCTGCTCCGAGGGGTAGGCGTTGAAGCGGTGCTCGTACAGCCAGTCCCGCAGGATCTTCACCGACTCCTTGGGGAGGTTTCCCCTTCTCTTCCTCTTGCACTGCGAGGGGTCAGGGGATGTGGCGCCGTCCTCGTCCCCCGGGTCACTGTCCGACATGGTGGAGCTGCCCGCGGGGCCGCCCTGGCTGGAGCCTGGCGAGGGAACCGGAGGGAGCTCCAGGCGGTGTCCGGCCGGGGGAGGGGAAGGGGCCTCCCACCGACCTCCCCCCGCCTCCAGCGGGGGTCTCAGCCCCTTCGGGCCCGCCCGAGGCGGAATCCCGGGGCAGAGACCCCCGGGGGGGGGAACACGAACGACCGGTACCGGCGGGACAACGGGGGCACCGAGCAGAGCCCCGGGAGTGCGGGGAATCGCAGCGCCCGCAGGGGTTCGGGGGCACTCGGGCTTCGGGGGGCACCGCAACGGGGGGGGAAAAAAAAATCAAGCGTGGGGTAGGGTGGAGGAGGGGAAGTTAAAAACAAAAACAATCTCAGCAGGAGAAAGAGGCCGGAGCTGGAGAGTGGGAGAGGAACCACGCGGGGTCATTGTGCGGCGGGGATGGAGGCGGGGGCGGCTGTCACGGGCCGGGGCTCGGCGGAGCGGGGCTCTGGGGCCGGGCCCCGCCGCCCCTCCGGCCGCAACAGGCGGCGAGGGGCCGGGGCCGCCCGCACAAAGCGGGGCAGCGGCGGCCGAACCCCCCCGGGCGGCCGGAGAGCGGCCGGAGAACCGGAGAGCGGCCCCCGCGCTCCGCCGGCGGCCCCGAGCCGTCCCCGGGCGAGCAAACTCCGCCGTGACTCCGGCGGGGCCGGGCGGGACCCGCGGCCGCAGCTCCCGCAAACTTCGGGAAGCGCCGGCGCGGCCCGTCCCGCTCCGTCCCGCACAAAGGCTCCCCCCGCGCCCCCCGGGATCCATCTTTGCGCTCACCCCCGGGCCGCCGCCGCCGCCTGGGCGCTCGCATGGGCCGCGCCGGGGTCTCGGTGCCGGGGCCGGTGCGGGGCCGTCCCGCGGCGGCGGGCGGGCAGCCGGGCGCGGCGGAAAGTTTTGGGTGGGCGGCGGTGACAGATGCCGAGACAGAGTTCCCTTTGTTCCCGAGGAGGCAGGAACTCGCCGGGCCCCCCGCCCCCGGCCCCGGCCCCGGCCCGCCCGCCCCCGGCTGTCACCGGGCACCGGGGCCCCCCCGCCCCGCCGAGCCCCCCCGCCCCGCCGAGCCCCGGCCCGTACCTGGCGCCGGCGCAGCCCCGGGCTCGGCCCCGCTGCCGGACACGGCCCCCGGCGGAGGGGGCAGGGACAGAGCCAGCCCCGGAGCCCCCGCGGCCGCCCGGCCCCGCCGAGCTGCACCCGCACGGGGGCCCAGCCACGCACGGCACCCACGTGGGGACAGCCAGCCCTGGGGACACCCAGCAGGGACACCCCCCTTTGGAACCCCCACCCAGGGTCACCCCCTTGGGAACCCCCACCCAGGGACACCCAGCAGGGACACCCCCTTTGGACACCCAGCAGGGACACCCCTTGGGAACCCCCACCCAGCGTCACCCCCTTTGGAACCCCCACCCAGGGTCACCCCCTTTGGAACCCCCACCCTGGGACACCCAGCAGGGGTGCCCCACAAGGTGCTGCACAAGTTCCTTCCCCTGGCTGAATGCTGCAGCTGGGCCCCAGGGGTTACCGGTGCCTGTGGGCAGGGGACAGGGACAAGGACAGGAGCTGCAGGGGCAGGTGTGGGTGACAACCCTGGAGACCTCTGGGCACCTTGAAGTTCCACCAGTGCCTCGTTTTGTCTTTACCAGATGGGAAATCAGAAGCCCAGCACATCACTGCTCCTGTGACACCGGAAGATGTTTCCAAGCAAAGGTGGTGACTGAGAAGGAACGAGGTGGAGCCCTTGCTGTGCCATTGCCATCAGGCTGGCCAGGGTCTCTGGAAGCCTTCCTGCTCTCCCTGTGCCTCTCCCTGACCACAGCACAGCCCAAGGTCACCTTTGGGGTTTTGGGGACCAAATTGCCCCGTTTATGAGCTGCTGGTGCAGGGTGTGAGGAGCATGAGATCCCCCCAGCCCAGCTGTGTGCCCCTGTGCCCTGTGGGGCTGGGTTACATTGTCACCTCTGCCAGGTGCTCCGTGAAGCCCAAGGGGATGGGTCCATCAGGGGTCCCCTGGAGCGGCGCCTTCATCAGTGGGAAGAAGAGAGAGGAGCTGCTCTGAGCAGTTGTGCCACATCCCAGTGCCCGAGATGGACAAAGTGCCACCATGGGAACCCTGCCCTGCAGCCAGCCCAGAGCCCCTGTCCTGGGGGGCATCTCCTGGGGTGGAGATGTCCCTTTGGGGATGTCCCTCCCCTGTCTTGGGCACAGCGTGGGCACCCCCAGGGCCTGTGTGCTGCTGGGGGACAGCCCCCAAACCTCACCGGGCCCTGCCCCACCTCTCCCCACCAACCCCGGGCTTGATGTCACCTGCCCCAGGGGCAGCTCTCCCCTCCCAGGCTCCACCACCTCTGCTGCAGCTCCCCTCCCTCCCCTCTTTGCTGCTTGCAGGCTAAAATATGGGAATCCCTTCATGTGCTGGAAAAAGCTACAAAATCCCTTCTTTTATGGGCTATTCTTGGTCTGGGAAAAGCAGGATATGTAGTGCAATAAGGGATAAAATAGCAAAAGAAAAAGGCGAACTTAAATCACTTATTTTGTTGCTTCTAAACCTTCCATGACCTGAGTGGAACTGTGTCGGGACCGGTCCCTGAGCTCAGCACCCCCCCGGGCTGGGCCGTGAGCCACCCCCGGCTCCCCCCACCTGCCTGTGCTCCCTGGATCGCTGTGGAACAACTTGGGAAAAATCCCATGGGGTGCCTGATGGGAGGAGCCCGAATCCCTGGGCAGGCCCAGCCTGGCATCCCGGAGAGCCCCCGGCTGATGGGGACTGGGGAGCCTCGGGGATGAGGGGCCAGGGAAGGGGCTGAGGAGCATCTCCCTGCCCTTCCCACTCCGAGCTCGTCGCGCTGAGCCTGCCCGGGCCCATTGACATGATAATAGTGCTAAACTTCAGCAATTGGAACAACAATCGGCCAACGAGAGCCTGAGGGGGAATGCTGGAAACCCAGAGGGATTCTGGGAGCCCCAGGGTGATGCTGGAAATCTCGGGGAAGCTGGAGCTCCCAGGGGAAGCTGGAATTCCCAAGGGGATGTTTGGCACCTCAGGGGGATGCTGGAATCCCCAGTCAGACTCCCAGGTATGGGCACTTCCCAGACCGGACTCTCTCCATCCTCTGCCCACCCTCTGATCTTCAATCTGCATTTTCAGCAAGGCAAATTGGATTTGTGGTTTGCTGCCACCCTGCCCCTGGGGCCACTACTCCAGCAGCAGGCCCTGCTCTCTGCTCAGAGCCACTGGACCTGCTGCAGGCTGGGATCCCCCAGCAGGAAAAACCCCTGGTCCTGGGAGCTGGGATGCAGCTGGAGCCCCTGTCCTGGGCCCTGTAGTCCCTGCATCTCCTCTGCCCCTTCCCACGGGGGATCTCTGCTCTGGTTCCTTCCTGGAGGCCTTAGGGCAGGACAGACCCTCTCAGCAGGCACTGCTGTGCCCTCTTCCTCTCTGATGTTCCTCTAATTCACATCTCTGGACATGGCATGAGGAGTGTGGGGACACCAGGAGCTCAGAGCACTGCTGAGAGCACTGAGAAAAGCAAACACTGGGGTCAGGGGGTCCTGGGCTGCCCTGGGAGTGCCACAGAGCAGGCCCAGAGCGGGGCTGCCCAGGACGGGACACAGGGACAGACTGGACAGAGTCCAGCACAGGGCCATGAAGCTGATGGAGGGACTGCAGCGTCTCTGCCATGAGGAGAGGCTGAGAGAGCTGGCACTGCCCAGCCTGGAGCAGAGCAGGCTCAGGGCATCTCATGCCTGGGCATGAAAAGCCAGGGGGAGGCTGCAGAGGGGACAGGGCCAGGGACAGCCCGGGGGCCTCGGGCACAGAGTGACCCACAGGAGGGGCCCTCCGAGCTCAGGAGACGCTGCTGCACTGGGAGCAGCTCTGCAGCTCTGCTAGACTGGCCAAAAGGTTCCCCTAACTTGGTGTCCCCCTGCCTCAAGTGAACACTTCTGAAATGAATGTCTTTATTTTGCTGCAATTTGATACCTTTGAAACGAGTCAGGTCAGGTCCTGCTGCTGCCTCTGCTGTTTCTGATGCAGCCCAAGGACAGGGGACTTCCTGGGCTGCCAGTGCCCATGGCCGGGTCACATCCAGTTGGTCACCAGCAGCACCCCCAAGTCCTTGTCCCAGGGCTGCTCCCCATGCAGCCATTCCCAGCCTGTGCTGTGCTGGGGCTGCCCCAGGTGCAGGACCTGCCCTTGGCCTGGCTGAGCTCCATGAGGTTCACGTGAGCCCAGACAGTTTTGGAGTTTCACAGATTCATCAAATCCCGGAATGGTTTGGGTTGGAGGGGATGTTAAAGCCCATCTCATTCCTCCCCCTGCTAATACCTTCCCTATCCCAGGCTGCTCCAAGCCCTGCCCAACCTGGCCTTGAACCCTTCCAGGGGTGGGGCAGCCACAGCTGCTCTGGGAAACCTGTGCCAGTGGAGTAAGTTTATTTACTCTTCCCATAAATACCTCAGTGTCCAATAACAAATTTGTTCTGCTTTGCTGCCTCAGGGTTGAAGTCCCACGGTGCCACCACAGCCCCAGCAGTGAAGGGGCAGCTCAGACCCAGCAGGTTTGGCAGCTGCTTGGGGCAGCAGCTCTGACAGCCCCGGGCTGAGCTGTGGCACTCCCAGCTGGAGCAGCAGCGAGTCCCTGAGTCCATCCCTCTCTGGCACTGCCAGGAGCTGGGCTGCTCCCCCAGGGATCCCCGGGCTCAGAGGGGCTCACCATGCCACATGCAGCTGCCCTGGCAGCCCCTCTGCCCCCAGCTCATGCCCCAGAGGGATGTCTGTGGATGTTCTCTCTGCTGGGTGTCACAGTGAAGGTTTTATAAAGCATCCAGGCCTCCAGAAGCCCTCAGGTCTGGGAATTCTCTCTGGCTGTGGGAGAACTGTAGTTTTTCCCTGGCACAGCAGTGAATTAAGGAACAAGCTTGGTACCCATGAGGCTGGAGGTGCTGGTTTGGGGCTGCTGCTGCAGAGCACAAGCCCTGACCCTGGGGAACTCC